ATCCAGTGACAGGATAAGGATATGAAAGTATTAGGTCCTGCAAAGGAGTAGCTCATTGCTACTGAGTAGCCCTGCCTGGAAGCATCACCCAAAGAAAAGTGCCTCTGTTTGATCGGTAGCGTCAGGAAACGTCTGGTAGAGAGGCCCTTCGTGTACAAATGCCACCTGACTGTGTTCTCCTGCTTTACCAAACCCCTTTCTTCGCTCCAGTTTTTGTAGTTAACTCGGCCACTGCGTGCAGTTTAGTATTAATCTTATCCCCCTTAGATCTGGCCCGTGGGACCGGTTGGTTCCCTTCGGCTCAGTGCGTGGATACGAAGAGCCTGCCGTAGTCCCGCTCTTGGGAGATTGTGAGGCTCTGCCGCTGCCCGCACTCCTCTGGGAGCAGATGTAGTTTATGCATGCACTGCTCCTAGATCTAAGCATCCTTGAAAATGAAACTTCAGCATTTGTCTTTCTGCTTGTTCAGAAAGCACTGTTGGGATCTCATTTTAGGAGGGTATTTGGCCGAGTTGTAACTCCTCTCCTTCACCAGACCTGCCCCCACTCCAGTTTGTCCTAGCATTACATGCGCCCTGTGTGCTGACCTGCATATAAACAGAAACCTAATACGAGAGAAATCCTACCTTGGTATGTACCCCAAGTAACCGCTTCTAGGTTTTGCATCAGGAACATGTCATATGTCTGTGAAACTATTTTCTTCAGATAGTTTTTATGTGGTAGTTCGCTTATTTGCCTGGAAGTCCCAGTGTCTTCTCCTCACCTGAGTTTGCATTTCAGCTTGAAACTCTTGCCTTATACATGAATATATAGGGTAATTTTTATTTTCACTTACATAGAACTAAAATGATACTTGCACAAAATGTGCCCTAGCATGCGCTTGTTCTGTCCTTGGGCAAACTAGAACATTCTGTCTGAAAACGTGCTATGATCTAGAGGAAGAAAGAAACTAATTCCCTTCCCTCCTTCCCTCCTTCCCTCCTACCCTCCTTCCCTCCTTACCTCCTTCCCTCCTTCCCTCCTTCCCTCCTTCCCTCCTTCCCTCCTTCCCTCCTTCCCTCCTTCCCTCCTTCCCTCCTTCCCTCCCTCCCTCCTTCCCTCCCTCCCTCCCTCCCTTCCGTCCTTCCTTCCCTCCTTCCTTCCTTCTCCATCTAACTGAATTCTGCATTACAGAACCTTGACCAAAAATGAGCGAGTTTAAACTTTTGCCAGGGTGTATCAGTGCTGCTGCTTGTAGCGACTCACCGTGTGTATCATGTGTCTTGTCCAGTATCTTGCCGCTTACAGAGAAGAGCTGTTCCGGAGGAGAAACAAGAAACTTTTCAGTAGCTAGATGCAGAATTTTAATTGCTGTCTGAGGAAAGCTTCTCAAGATGCTGATGCAACAGATGACAGTGAAAAAGCAGCTATCCATCTTTTCTTTCACTGGCAAATTGTGTAGCAAGGTCATGAATTTGAATGATGAAACTTTTTTTAGGGTAGGTTCACAGGGAGTTTAGATTATGACTCTACAAAGCTATGGATTTATCAGTAAATTGTGGCTGGACTGAATTCCACCTGGAATTCAAGATGTCAGCCTGTGTGGCATTGATTTGTCATGTGATAACTTCAGTAAGAGGAGAGGAGAGTGCAGTCAATGAAAAGATAAGTTTGGAAGAGAATCAATGCTGACACCAACAGAAAGCTTAGTAAAAAGGAGGAGAATGCTGGGAAGAGATGGGTGCGGGTATGACATCACACTTGAGCCTATGATTTTGTATTGTGTTAAAAAAATCTATTTGAATTGGAAATACTTTTTTACAAATCTATGTCACTTCACAATCCCCAAATAAAATGGATGCTGAGGTAACCTCCATAAGTGCAGTTAACTCATGTGTATATCATAAACCTTGAGGAATTCTGTCTTCTGTAGTCCTTGGTCCTGGAGTTGAGTGATTAAATGAGAATCACAGCTCATATTAAAGAAGAGAGTTTTTGACCCTCTTGAGAGAAAAACTGAAAGCAACATGGGCGTACTCGTATCACCCAGAGACCAAAAGGAAAAAAAAATGTATATAGTTTTGAGTTCTAGGCCAACATTATGGTGTTTTAAGGTCTGACCTGTTGGTCAATTAGGACTAACAGGACTAAAATATTAGTGCCGCGTGTGGTTTGGCTACAGGCAAGGAGTATGCAGTGAGATGGTAGTCCTGTTAAACTCCTCCACATTGTACTGGAATATTTAACGCTCTTACTCTTTCGTGTACTCCCTGACTTGTGTATGGATATTCTTCAGTTCGCATTAGTAATTCAGCTGAAAAGGCTACCGATAATGGTGACTCTTTAGCACAAAGCAGAGTTTTCAGATACCCCCAAATACTTAAAACTTGATTCTATTGCCATTGCCTAATCAAACAGTAGAGCGGCAGGTAATTAACAAATCCTGTCACACATTTTCTCAGAAAAATATTTTTCCTCCAACGAGTACGTGGGTGGATAAGTAAAGCTCAGCTGTACATGTCCTTGCAGTGACTATAATCAATGTATTGACCGTCTCGCTGGGAGGTAATCCTCAGCCACTGCGGTGGCTGGCTGGCTCTCTGAAGGGCCTGCCTTTGTCACACTTCTGTCAGAAGCTCTGATAATACTGCCATTGGGCCATCAGCTAATACTGTTCATGCTACAGTCTTGCGGTGTTTCTTCAAAAATTATCCTGGCTTGTGCTATAGAAAGGAGAAACTGATTCCCAAATCAAAGAAGCTTCCTGGGCCGTAGTATGGTGTTTGAAACAAAAAATGCCACATTCAGTGATATGAACTAATACTGAAGAAATTATAACATCAACGTGTTAAGTAACACCTTGTAATTCTTATATCAATAAAAAGGTATTTGTCCAGAATTAAAATAGTAATGGAAAATAAATAGTGCTCAAGACACCGCTAGCCATGGCTTTAGGAAAATATTTAAATTTCCCACCTTAATAACCTACTTGAGAGTTTTCTAATGTAGAAATGTTCACAATTTCTAGGTGAGTAAAAGAGAAAAAATAACAGAGGGAAGTATATATGCAGGAGGCATAAAAAATTGGGGGAAAAAAAAAAGAATAATAATTGCGTCTTGTTTTTCTGCATCATCAAATACTTTGCCTAAGTTGCTAGGTAGTAAGTGAGTGTCTTTTAAGTAACTAGAAAAGGGCAAAATTCAGATTTTTCAGGTGTTCCATTATGCTTCTGAAATGTAATGGAAAATAAGTATGCTATGTCACATAACAGAAGTTAAATATATTTTAAGATTGTGCTCTCAGCCTGAGCAGATAAGACGGGAAGGTACACAGCAGCATAACTCAACTTCTGTGACTGAATTCAGTAATGTGAGGTAGAGAAGCGAAACAGTTCAGTAGGGCTAATGGCAGCCACCCCAGCACGCCACCCTGTCATCTCTCTCTTTGTTCTCTTTGTTTTCATACTTCCTTTCTTGGAAAATACAGAGGGAAGCTATCACATGGAATAATTCTGGCCTCAGCTCTCCATCCTGAGTATCCTCTTTTTTTCCCCCCTCACCCACCCCTAAAAGCTGAGCCAAGTACATGTGTGCCGTCTGGCACTCCTCCAGCGGTAACACAAGTAAGGAGAAAGGAACCAATGGATGCAAAAGTATAATTTAATGGGAAAATTTGAAAGAAAACTCTGAGGAGATGCAAGAAGAGAATAAAAATGGTGTGAAAAGGGTAGGCTGGAGTTGTACTATTACACAGCGTGCGGGTAGTTGAGAGAGAATGTCGGTCAATCTAGAATGAAGACTCTGCTAGTAAGAAGTTAAGAACTGCTGAGATACGAATCTGGAGTCTTTTCTGGAGAGAAATACAGTAATCTGTGTGAGCTTTCTTTTCCTGTCTGAAGAAGCTGACTCCCACTGCCAGTTCCTCTTCCTTCTCTGTACGCCGATGGGTTTTTGCCTGTGGAGGCACCGTGGGCTGGGGCAGCGATGCAGTCGTCGTCGTCTGGCCGAGCAGGCGTTCGGAGACGTTCCCGTGCGCTCCTCGCCGAGGGCTCTGCTGCTCTCTACCAGGGCTAATACGGGTACACAAGCTGCCACAGAAAGGACGATGACTTCAATCTTGTTCTCCATATCAAAGTTGTACTTTAGGAAGGTTTTATTTAGAATCTCGTTAATTGTCAGTGGATTCCTTGTCTAACAGACTATACCTTAAGATGCCATCTGTGTGAGGAGAGTCATGCTGCTGGCTCAGGCAAAAGCAACTGGATTGGAATAGCTCCAGTGCTGTTACAAAGCAATGAGTTGGCCAACTGCTAATTTAAAAAAAGGGAGACGAAAATAGGCATCTGAATGCACTGTTCTGTCTTCATTAGAACTGGTGGTGATGGGGCTTTTAGTTTTCTTTACAATGACAGTACACGCTTTGCTCTAGGCAATGCATTTAACTTTGACCCAGTAGAGTACCTAAACATGTGCTCACCTTTAAGTGTATGAAAAGTTTAACTGACTTAGGGTTTTTTTCCCATGCTCTTAAATGTCTTTACTGGTTTGAGGCCTTTACCGTAAGTTTGCACAAGCACTAAAATCTTGAGATTTTAGTGAAAGCTTTTTCGAATATCCTGCTTTGCGGGATTCTTTCCATTCGCATAAATGTTGTCTAGAATGCTTGGACCCAGAGGCCCGAGAATCCACCTTCAGCATCTTTGTTGGCTCAGTAGATTTTGGATGATCTATGATTCCATGAGTACTGATCGTGCTACCTTTGGTTTAACGTAAGCTGTGTTAAGCCTACGTCAACAGGCAGATATAGCTACCCTTCCTGTTGGGGCACTTTGTAGGTCGTGGGATTTGTCACTGTTTTGGAGGGGGAAAAAAAAAAAGAAAAAAAGAAAAATTGCATTTTGTGAGGTGAGTATGAAGTTAAGGTAAATCACATGTTGTCATCCACTCATGCTGCTTTTGCCACAAAATCAGAGGTGTTTTCATGTAGGTGACTATTTAATTTAGTTTCCACTTTGATACAGCAGCAAAGACTCCGTCCGCCTCGGCCACCGCCTCCAAAGATACAGCGTTCATCTAGGCCCGTGAGTAGTCGGTAGTTTTGTTTCACTGCCACAGCTTAACACTGCCTGAATTACGCTCTTAGTAGCATTACTAAACCTTGGTAGTTTGGATTGTCAAACTTTGCAAAAAAAGCAATGTGTGAATTATGCTCCTAAACTCCCTTCTTCTCTGCTGCGGCACAGCCCTGGGACCTGCATTTATTCTGCTTTTCTTTGATGAGTTCTGCAGCTTTCAGTCAGTTCTGCAGGTAATTGATGCTGCTGTTGCAACATTTGTTTTTACTTTTGCGGTGATTCTTAAACAAAACGTCTGCTAGGCTGGCATAAGTTTTTAGCCAGTGAGCTTTTGAAGACTTGCACTAAACTCAAATATGAAAGGAAGCAGAAGTCTGAAGAGAAAGTATTTATTCTCTGCAAGTTATGCTTTAAATTAATTTGGAACGCTTAATTTTTCTCCATGGAATAGATGAGTGAATACACATGAAGAAAGCAAAGTCTATATTTGGGCGGTAGAACATTAGTACCACATTATGGATGATACACATATATACTTCATGTTCATTTAAAATGCAAGCTGGGACTCTATGTAGTTACGTAGTTTAAAAAACGTAGGCACAGCATGTTGGCCAGAGGAAGTGACTCTTCTATGGAAGAACTACACAGAAATTATTCAGTGCAATACCTGTACTGTATTAGGCAGGGATACCTCATCTCAGCAGTTTTTCATTCAAAATGCTAACTGTAGGACAATTGTTACATATTAACTGTGCCAGATGGCTTTCAAACTGGAGACTGTGCTGGATCTGCACCAGTGATTTTTTTTTTTTTTTAGTAGCACAGGAAAGTGCTATCAGTTTAGAAGGGGTGTTGTTTTTTGCAACAGCCTTGGAAGATATTTATTTCTATTCAGGACTTTTACTTTATGAATATAGTTCCCCCAAAGGGCAAATACATCTTACTCCTTGCTTCCTTATACATCCATGTATGTGCATAGGAGAGAGAGAGAGAGATGCAAGTTTTCAAATCTAATCTTGCTAAAACTTGTTGAAAATATGTTTTGGATGAGCAGGCAACTGGTTAACAAGTGCACTTGGGTGTGTGTTAACTTTTGATCTTTGGTGCATGTTCCTATATTACATTTCAATAGCATGTGTTTCTTTTCCTCCCTTTTTAATTCTGGGTGTTTAGCTTAACATAGAGTCATCTTTGTAGATTTCTGCTCTGAAGATCTCTGTTTTCTGTGTTTAAAAGGTAGCATTGACTATGCTTATACGTGTTCTCTTAAACGTAATTGTTATGGGAGACCCTCCCAGGTACATTACGCTAGGAACAAACTTCCTATGGTGCTACGGGGTTCCCGTAGCGCTTCATAGCCCTCTGGTTTTGTGTTTGGCAGGTGCACGAGGGCACAGTGCGATTCCTCGGTACAAAAGTTGCTAAACAGTATTGTTCAGGTTGAGTAATTTATTACATCAAAGTCTTGCTAAGCCTGTTTAATCTCCCAGCTGTAGTGCATTAATAGTCCTCACGATAATGTGTTTGTGTCAACTGTCTTTGCTCCCAATGTGATTGATAAAAGGTTGGAAATGTAATAATAAAAGCTCCTGTTGCATTCATCTAGCTGTGTCAATAAGTGGAACAGAAATGCTTCATTCATCAAGAGGAAATTCAAGATAAATGTAAATTATTATAATCGCTCACAAAAATATGCTTGTACCAAATATACATAAATTTGTTGTTGTTCAGATCTGTTATTTGGCTTTTAATAGTTGAAACACATTTTTGTGTGTGTAAATAATACTTTGCGCAGGCTGCTTTTTCCCTCTCTTAGCCTTGGCACGCATTACAGAGGTGGATATCGGCAAGTAATTTATCCTAGCCTTTTACAGCACGCACTGACTGAGGAGACCAGGTCCCTCTGCCCTTCCGACCAAGTCCACATAACACCAGAATTCCTGAGAAACACTTACTGTTTTCAGGATAGATCTGTTATGAGGAGGAATCCATGGGCACTGGTCCTTGCGATATGAGTCATTACTAAGAATAAAAACAAAAACACAGACCAAAGAAAGGTCGGAAGCAGAACAGACATGTTCTTTACATTCTGCTGTTTTGGAAATGAGTTGCGGTGGTATTAGGAAAGAGAGAGGGTTGTTGCTTATAATTAATAGAGATCTGTTTGGGATTAATAGTGGCTGTTTGGAAACTTCATTCCATTAGAAAAAGTTAAAATATAATAATTATGCATAAAGTTGATGGGGACGGTAATAAGCACATTTAACCCTTCTGTACTGGATGTTTACCTTTATTCTTTTGGCTATGTGCTCACGTAATTGGATTTCTTTCATACTTTGCATTTGGTAAGCATTTAACCTTGCTTATTTGGCTACATAAGGCTCAAAATCCAGCAAGGAATTTGCTTGATTCCTGGCTTTTCCCTGCAGTCCCCCGTGAACAATGCTCGAAATCCTGCTTAGCATGTCACCCTGCACTTACTGGTCTGGTGGCCCCCTGGAGCCATCCAAAACTCTCATCTCTCTCCCTCATCACCATCACTCCCCCAGGGTACCACCCAAAAGGTGAAAGTGTTCACAGCATGATGACAAGCCAGCTTTACACATCATCTTCCAGCTCAGATTTAATTAAACAGGTTTCTTTCTTCCTCTCCTTTTCTTTCTCCTTCTTGCTCTCTTCTCCCCCCAACTCCTCTCGCTTCTTCCCCCCTCTCTTGCACGCACTCGCTCTCTCTTGCTCTCTCCCTCTCTGTTTTATCAACCCTAATGAAGCAGTATTCTTCATCGATCCTGCTGATTGCCAGCCCGTTCCTTTTGTTTGTTGGCACCGAGCCATTCAGCCGCACTCTGACAGCTCAGCTCGTCTAATTAGCTCTGTTGTTCTTTTCCCCATGTTTCACCACGTTGCAAGTTCAGCTGAAGTTGCCACAAACTTAATCCTTCCATTCCTGCCATAAATTCACATTCTTAAGCCGTCTTTATTGTAGAGAGGAGCAGCCTTGTGTGGGGACTGATCTTCGAGACCTTAACAGCTGACCTTTTTATAAGCCCTTTTTCCTAAGAAATAGTGGCAATACATCTCTGGATTTCTTCATCATATCTGCTGTACACCATTTCCTTTGAAATGAAAATTCAATACAATAATCCTGCTCCTATCTTCTGCATACTGTTGTGTAGCGCAGAAACACTACACACAATTTGGTGGCTTTTTCCTGGCAAGAAAATTTGAGGTTTATGTGCCTGGCACGGGGGAAAGCCTGGAACCACCCTGCTCCCCAACAAATAGTAATTTAAAAAAAACCCCAAACAACAAACCGATGAAAACTTGCAGAGGTAGGGGGAAATCTGCATCTATTCTATCATTACAAACAAATTATTTAGTCATCCAAAGAGCACTTAGGTTGTAGGCCTTTACCAGCTTCCTTTGTATTGTGGCTATTAAGGGAGCACAGGCTCAGGGAGGGCAGGAGTTGGGTTCTGTTCCTAACGTTATTTGAGGGCTTTGGGGATTTCTGTTGAAACTAGCATTCAGCTAAGCCAACAAATCAGAGTCCGTTTCAGGTAAGGTAGTGCTTTTTTAATAACAAATGGAAAGCTTGTTCGTACAGCTTGACCGTGATGCTGCAAATGTTCATTCCCACATTTGACGCGAAGGGATAAGTTCATCAGCAGGATTACTCACGAGTATAGGCAGGCACATGCATAAACCCTGCCTACATGGCGATCACGTGGGCTTACTCCTTTCCGTGAGGTAAAACTTGTTTGCTTGTGGAGTTAACGGAAGTAGAGTAAGCTTGATTTCTGAACATTAGAAGGTGGTGGATATCTTATTTAAGATTGGATTGGCAGCAACATCATCTTCCACACAAAAGCTTTGGATTTCATTACAGACAACAAAAGATCCGCTAACATAACATTAGGGGTGATAACGATAATACGTCTGGCAAGGGTTTCTGTTCAGCTGCTAAAAGGAAGCAAATTTTTAGTGAAGAATGAGCTATGTTTTTCATGTCATAACATTTATTCTAAGTACAAATTTTTCAGTGCTCCCTTACACAGAAGTCTTCACTTGAGAAGCTGGGTTCCTATGAACAAGTGGACAAAAGGATCGTGATGTCGGAGCTTTCCAGTATAACGTACAGCAACACACAGGACTTTCCAGTTTTACTCTGTCAACTAACTGTACAAGGGGAAGCTCACATTTAGGGAATCTTTTATCAGAAATTTAGCCTGTACCAAACAGGACAGTGGAACAAATTTTTGTTGCTTTGCCAATAGCTAACAGTCAGTGACAAGCATGTATATTGCATTTGCTATTCAAAAATAAGGGGTTTTTGTCCTTAAACAAGTTACAGGTCCCTGTAGTTTATATTCATGCTTTACATTTGTTTGTATATCTGTATTCATTTGTTACATTGTTGTGGCACAACAAATAAAGAAGTTTAAAAGCAATTGTGAATGGAAGATACCTTTAAGATAACAGTGGTTATGCGCCTTTTGTTATCTATGTCTGTTGGTTGATCAGCTTGAAGTATTTGATGAAATGTCTTCTATGTGTGTGTATGTAATAGGTTCGCCCGCCAAGACCTCATGTTGTTAAGAGACCCAAGAGCAATATTGCTGTGGAAGGACGAAGGACTTCTGTTTCTAGTCCAGAACAGTAAGTACTTTGCTGCTCTGCTTCGCTCTAGTTGCGTCAACAAACTGCATCCAGAACTGGAACTAGCCAAAGGAGAAATTAAAAAATAGTATAGATCAAAGTAATTTGTTAACTAACAAAAAATTGTTTTTTTAATTTTCGGACCGTGTTAGAGGAAGTGTGAAAAAGCAAGAAACCGAAGTTTACTTATTGGAAAATTCTGGTTTGCCAAGTTAGACATAATCTGCTCAGCCTCTTTAGTGAAAGTTTTCAGGGTTTGGAGGTTTGTTCATTCCTTTGTTGTTTTGTTTTAAACCGTGCTTTAAATGCAGTTGTTAGCCACATCCCTGCAAATCGCTGTTCTTGCCAGGCTTTACCTGGAAGACACAGAATTGTTTGTTTTATAGTGATGGCAGTAAGGGTTGTGTCTCATGCTTGTTAGAGTCCCATTAACAGAAGGTCTGTAATGAGCTCTATAGCGAAGGCTCGTAGAGCGTAACTGTCTTGCATAGTACTAGCAAATTTATCACCTCTTTAGATTTGACTATGAAGTAAACAGGGGTAATGCTCCGAGTAAGTTGTACTGCTGTAGCTTACTGCTAGTGTATAAAATGTGTTGGGTTCCGACATCTCTCTTGTTCATAAGAACAGTACATTCTGTTACCTTGGAGAGGTTTTTTCAGATAGTTTCATGAACGTCACATGTTAAAGTACTTTTTACAGAGAAGACAATCCTGTGTACAATAGTGTGTATTGTTGCAGCTATGTTTAACGCGTTGCCATAGTTGAGTTAAACAATAGGCCGTCAAGTGAAAGCCTAAGAAGAGAATGGATATATTGAACCTTAGCAAGGTAGCCCAAAAGACACTATTGTGTGTGACAAATATACGTGTAGGCTGCATCAATATGCATTTTGGATTTAAAATTATTCGGATTCTTTGGAGTGTAGCTACTTCAGCTGTTCAGAAGTACAAAAGATTCAACGGCACTAAGTTCTGATTGGATACGGAGGCTGGTGTTAGCTGCGCTTCTTAAGGGTCAGAATAAGCAGGTTGCCTCCTCTCCGTTCAGAATTTGGGAATCTTAAGAACTGTGCATTTTGCATGGGGCAGTTGATCTTAGAAGAAGGTGGTGTGAAAAATGTGGCCAGAGTAGGGACAGACCTGCTTGGCACTCTGGAGGAAACAACCGAGCAGTGAGGTAGGAAGAGCAGGCAGCGGGGCCAGCGTACATTTTCCAAGTCACGTGGCAAGATTAAACTGGTATTCCCCGCGCGCGAAGCATCTTCGATGCCGTCCTTGAATGGTGAGCAGCATAGCATTTTCCAGCTGCCTGGTGGTGTGGCAGTGCAGCCTTAGCATGGGAAGTCTCACTGCAACTGCTCACGGACTACAAGCAAAAGACTCCGGGGCCACAAGATGGTTGCACTGATCTAATGTGTCACGGAGATTTCCTTGGAATTCATCTCTACCTGCAGCACAAAGTAATTGCTTGTATCCTAGCTGCTTCGTGTTGTTTATGTCCCAGCCTGTGGTGGCTTTATTGTCAGTAAAGTGAAACGCTTTCACTGATGCCCAAGATTACAAGATATTTGCTGTATCTAAAATCCCATAAAAAGCAAAATAGTTGGTTTCTTTAAACACACCTCTTCCCACAGTTCCCTGTCACCACTGTTTGAGGGGAAAAAGAGGTGGAGGTTGGGTTTCCCTCTGCCCCCCAAAATGAAGTGCTTGGCTAGCTTGTTCCCAGCCACTCCAGGATGGGGAGATATTCTGGCTTTTAGCTAAAATGAATGGTCACTTTTAAATTCTACGGGATTATTTATTCATTTTATAGTGGAATTTGGTTGCCCTCTTGTGGAGTAGATTGCAAGTCCTGCAGCAGGGCTTGTGCTCTTACGGGGTGGTAGCTGGTCCTGCACAGGTTATAGAAATTTTTAAAATAAAACTTTTTTCTTAATATTTAATATGATGATTCACTTGCATGTAGGTGAAGGATAATTGAGTCAATTTAACCATTATGTGTGTTTCATATGAAGGATTATGCCTATTTGGATTCAAAAGCTGCTTGACATTCCAGTGTGGCTTACTGCTAACATGTATTTTCAATTCCTGCCAGTATCAGAACAGAAATAAATGTAAACACGAACGATAAACATATTTATACTAATGCTAGTAATCGGTTGAATTACAGTTATTCTTTTACTTGGTTTTAATTTATTGCTGTTAATTTCAGTGAATCTTTACAATTCAGCTGCTTTCACAGAGTAAACTACGAAAATTCTTTTGTGAAAACGATTGACAATAATCTAGCAAAGATAATGAAGATGCTTTGTAGCTGTAAACTGAGTTAATTTTCCTCATGAGCATTTTACTGATAGATTTTTCCATCTTTGAAATGTGGAAGAAAACCAGGTAATGTTGCTAATACCACTGACACTTGCTCTGTGGTACCGGTTGTGGTCTCTTCCTGATGTTTCATAGCTTCGATATTTTATCCAGTTCAAATGCAGTATCACAGCAGGAACTGATGTGTTTTCATTCTTTCCCGTTCTCTGCTTCAGGTGGCAAAACAAACTTTGACATAACTACTTCCAGACAGTTAATTGTAGAATATTGCACTCAACCAGATCTCCACTAAGGTGTCTGGTTAGCGTGTTTTAATAAAAACAACTTGGGGCAGGGAGGGAGACGGGACGCACGACACGCAACGATGTTGACACTGACGCTACAGTTGTGATTTTGGAAGTGCAAGTGGAGGAAATGTCCAACCTTGTACTTTAACTAAAGCTCAAATAAATGGCCTACCTAAGAAATAACTTGAGTTGAATGCCTTTGAAATAGGTAACGACTCAGTAATCCTGGCCTTTTTCCTTACTATTTATCTCAAAATGACATTCTGAATAAAGGAAAAATATATTTTTAAAATAGTAATTAAAGATAGGATTTTCATGACATTTTTCACAAACTTTTTTTCTGTCCCAGTAAGAAATAATCTTCCTATATTGTTCTGAAATGAAAACATACAGCCAGGTGTTGTCTCTTTAAGAGATCCACATTGTTTTCTGTCTCTTGAATAATTCTAAAATGAGTGAAAACACCACAGTATATGTATTTTCACTCGTGTTACTTGCCTTGGAGTACCCTTATGGCAGATCAGAGGAGATTCCATGAAAGCAGCAGCAGCGCTGAGAGGGTGCTTTTCTTAAACTAAGCTTCACGGAAATATTTAGCTTAATGGCACTGGTTCCAACACTAATTATTAGCCAGTTACTTCTTTCAGGTGCTCGTGTGTGGGATATGTTTGTGAGGAGGAGCTTCTGTTCAACGAGACGTTTCTTTCTATATTTAAAACTGACACTAACTTCCTGGTCTTGTATGATTACATGAAAGGTTCAGAGACATTTCCCAGGATAGCTGACTCGCTAGCTCAGGCTGGGACTTTTGCATCCTCCTTCCAGCTGCGGGGGACGGGATCCGCAGGGCAGCGTGCCGCTCACCGCTGCGCGAGCCCCGCGCCCGCTCACCGCGTTTCACAGGGCCCCTTTTGCAGCTGTAACCTTGCACGCCGCCTCTGACGAGGGAACCGTTGCGTAGGCATCCTTTCAGTTGTTCCCTTTATGCATGCATTTTGTATGATGGTAAGAAATTTGTATCTTCAGTTGCAGGAGTTAGGATTTTTAATGTGTATAAAAGCAAACCATGGTTTTGGGGTATATGTGCTCACGTTCGAATCGGTCTTCAATTACAACACTGGAGGCGGGAGCAGTGACTTCAGAGAACACCTGAGATTATTGCCAATGTCTGTTGTTAAACCATTACATGGAAGAGCTGGTGGAAGACCTAGTGTGTCCCCCAGCAAAATTTTCAGTGATTTTTTTTTTTCCTATTTCAATAGAAAGTTTATTTCTTTACAATTGTCTCAATAATTCAAGGTTTGTGATTTTATGATTCTTAAAAAATTGTCATTAAATCTAAAATGTATAATTTTTTTTAAAAACTTTGTTAGTTATAAGGTAACAGGAAGAATTTGTAGGTCAGAGCTCAGAAAATGCTGGTTTACCACCTGGGGCAATCCTAGACACGTGGGATGTGCCTCCTTAAATACAAATTAGTTGTTCACAGAAATAAGATGTTGCATTTTTAACCAATAGGCAGTTTTTTGAGAGCTCTCTTTTACACCACAGCAAGATTTCCTATTAAATGTAGAATAGGTTTCCAGAGTGCACTAGGATCTGTCTTCTGTAAGTACCGACTAGCTGGCTTCCAGGGCATGCAGAGTGGGAGGAAATTAAAATAGGAAATCAGAGGGTCAGGCTCACAATTAACAGCGTGTCAAAAGGCTCTTGGGCTGGCTAAACCCATGTCGGTGCTGCAGCAGTTCATTATGTAGGACTTAGCAGAGAAGCTAATGGCTTTGCCATGTATCAGATGAATGAAAATGGGCTGCAGTGCAATAGTGGGTTATTACACTGAATTTAGTATGAAGTCAGCACGACGGCTGTGGTGAATGATACAGCCTCATAAAGCACAGTAAATTCCAGTTGTTGTAACCAGGCTCTCGGAGCTCTGCCACGCAGAATTTGTGGATGGTAAAGGTTTTCCATGGCATCGCTGCAAGCAAGGATCTCTGCTTAGGAAGAAAGCTAAGCCAGCAAGTACCTCTGTGAACGAGGATGGCTGGAATGGGAAAGAAAATAGTGCAGGCGGTAGCAGATAAGTCTCGCTGTGTGCGCTTTGGTCCCTCGGCCTTGGGAGAACTGGTGCAGAGGAAGGCAGGGACAACGAGGGTGGTGCCAGGAAAGCCGACGCCCGGCAAAGGGGGAGCAAATGGGTGAGGAACGTACGGAGAGCAGTCGGGTTTGTGGCCGTACCTTGCCAAGCAAGGACCGTAGCACAAGGCAGGCAGGGCTGCCCTTTGGGAACCCCGCTCTGCCTGGCTCTCCCACCTTTCCGGTGTGATGGTTTGCAGGGAACTTTAATTCTGGGGCCTGTTCTGTCTGCTTTGGAGTGAACCTACCG